CTGTGTACTTGCAGCCCGGGAGCAATTGTTACTGGGTCAGGTAATTACGCAATTAACCCTTCACACTGCCACCACCTCCTTTTTGTACGGAGAAAGAGGAAACTCGGCAATATCAGCAATAACACTATGTTGTTTGCATAAGCGTCGGTATACCACTGTCACCGCAGGCAGAGACATACCAAAGTTTAAAACACACACACAGTAGCGCTCTTCAGAGGCAGGGGTTCTTAGTGTGCATTAAAGAGCTTTAGAAACAGTTCAACACTTTCAGAAAGTAAGATTTATTACTAAAAGGTCAAAAGGGTGCAATAAAAATATTTACAGAAAAGATGTAGCCAATATATATATATATAAATATACAGAGAGCAAAAACACAGCAAAGAGATAACAGAAAGAAATTTAGTGAGGTAAAGTACTTGCCAAACGTCCTGGTTTAAGCAGATCAAGTTTCAGAGCAGAAGGGCCTTATTTCCCTCAGTTAGTTCCGATGTTAAAAGGGAGAATCTTCAACTGAGCTCAACTCACCTTCGCTTAGCTTAACTTTCTGCTCCAAGCATTATAGCTTTGTCTAGGAACTCAGCAGGGTGTCTCCCTGAAGCAGATAACCAATTGCCTCATTTGGGGAGGGGGGTGTAAGTGGAGACCCCAGCTAGGACCAAAATCCCTCACAAGTTGATATCAGGGCAATAACTTTCCCTGGATACATATAACATTCTATCCACGAGTAGATTAATACGCAGAATCATCTGCTGAACATCTAGATATGAAATATGACATACCTGCCGGGATGGTTGAGGAGATATTTTCTGCTCTCCTGTAGCTGCCAGCTAGGGGGTGTAACCTATCAGGCGACTTGTATTACAGTGAGCGGTCTGAATATATGCCTGGTTTTTATGTAAGTCTCTCATATTCCAAGATATGTAATCATAGGGGAAAGTGTGTCTTGAATGTGATGTCTGCTTTATGGCTTATCTGGAATGTCTTTGAACTCAGTGAAGGACTTGGTTTATGGCTTTATGATCCTTCTCCAGCAAGAGTCTCGCAGACATAGGGGTGCCAGGTTAATTGGGGTTTATAGCCATGAGCTCCCCCCCGCTGGGCCTTGATGCCTTTTTGAACTCAGCATCTAGGGGCCACGTGTCACTCAACAGAGAGGGAGGGGGGATGAGGGAAGCTGATTTGGAAGTAGAAAATTATAGAAGATGGAGGCCTTTGCCAAAATGGAGGTTTGCATCCATCTCTGTGTGTAAGGGATTTCCGGCAAGAAGAATCGTGATCGGGAACGCGCATGCGCATAGGAATTCCCGCAGGAGAATTGCTGGTTGTGCGCATGCGCGCATGCACGCGCACGTGCACACGCACGGCAAAGATTGGCGCTAGATGGCCCATTTAAGGAGTACCTCTGCTCAGGTTCAGTGCTGACTGGTCTTCAGCTCCCCCGTGTCCTGCCTGTTCCTGTACGATTCCTCCATTACCAACCTGGCTTGTTCCTGACCCGACTTCGATTACTCTCCTGCTACCTGTTCCTGACTTCGGCTCTGCTCCTGACCTTGGCTTTTCCTTCTGACTCTGTACCGCGCTGCCCGACTGTTGATGACCCTGGCTATCCCATGACTCTGCTCCAGTCTCTTGTCTTCGCTATCTACCTTGCTCTGCTGCACGTCTGGCAATCCACAGAACCTGCTCTGTCTATTATTACGGTGTCCAAATCAGCGGACCATCATCATTTGCAAGAGCTGCAAGCAACAACCACTGGCGCTCTTGTCCCCCTGGTCCCTAGACTCCCTCTGTTCCAACATCAGCGGGGTCAGGACTAGTGACACAAGTGAGACCGACCTCGTCAATTCAGTCTCCCATCAGGTACGTGACACTGTGTGCACGATTGCTACAATTGGGAGCTGAAGAACTACTGCAGTCAACATATAACATTAACTATAAGTATATATCTACCAATATGAGACCTATACAAGCTTTACATAATAAAAAGTTAATAATAGTACATACAGTACATCATGTGTACAAATAGGTAATACCAGCAAAGTGCCCAACAGGAGTCCTGGTGGAATTGAACACTTGTACCCCAGTATAAATACCTATTTTAGATACCGCCAGATGAATATTGCAGCAAAGTCAGGTTGCAGGGTCCTCTGAGGAAGATCATGATGTGGTGTTCATATTGGCGTTGAAGACAGAGTCAGTGATGATGAGGAGATCTTCCAATCATTGTCTAACTAGTCTGGAATGTACTGTAGCTTCTCACCAACAGAAACAGTGTTATGATACTAGACCTCAATAAACACAACACAGAAATGGCACAGATCGAAAAAGGGCTGCAAGGGCTGGGACAGTGATAATAATGGGGGATTTTAACCGCTTCCATACAGGGCACTTTTACCCCCTTCCTGCCCAGGCCAGTTTTCAGGTTTCAGCGCTCTCACACTTTGAATGACAATTGCGCAGTCATACAACATTGCACCCAAAATAAAATTTTATCACTTTCTTTACACAACTAGAGCTTTCTTTTGGTGGTATTTCAACAACACTGGTGTTTTTATTTTTGCTAAATTAACAAAAAAAAAATGAAAATTTTGAAAAAAAAAAACGTTTCTCTTTGTTTCTGTTATAAAAGTTTGCAATTAAATAATTGTTCTTCATAAATTTAGGCCAATATGTATTCTGCTACATGTCTTTGGTGAAAATAACCCAAATTAGGATGTATTTTTTAGTTTGCAGGAAAGTTATAGAGTTCACAGACTATGGTATATATCTGCATATTGATCTATCCTGAAGTACTGACAGCCAATCTAATTTCTTGAGGTCCAAGAATGTCAGAACAGTACAGATCTCCCCCAAATGACCCCTTTTTGCAAAGTAGACAGTCCGACGTACTTCATAAGAGGAATGGCGAGTTTTTTGAAGTTGCATTTTTTGTCATAATCTTTTGGAAAATTAAAAAATTATTTTCTCTATTTGTTTTTACATACTGTCACCAGTGCAGTACAGCATCATCATATAACTGGCATGGCGGTGATCACAGACACTGACTGGTGACAGTATGAAAAAAAAATATATATTTTTTTTATTTTTGTATTATTTTTAATTTTTTTATTATATTATTTTTCTTTTTTTAAGATTTTTTTTATATTTCACTATGACCAAAGTAGTACAATGTTACCATAGTAACATTGTACTACTTTGGGGAAATGATCCGTATTTTGTTTTTTTTTTACACAATTTGCTTATAGCAAAGAATTACTTTGCTATAAGCAAGCATTTACCTGAATGACGTCGATTCATTCAGGGTTTTTTGTTTTTTTTTTTGCTTAGCTGTGATTTGGCCATGGCTAATCACATGACACAGCTGATCGCTGTTGCCATTCACAGCTAGACACACTAGTATACAATGGATGGCATGAATGAAGCCATCCATTGTATACAACTGTCATGTGACCTGCTGTGATTGGTCACAGCAGGTCACATGGTACTAGCAACGAGGCCTGTACTCAGATCTGTCATCGGTACTCAGATCGAGGTACACGGCCGATGACAGATAGTGCCGCTGCACAGCTCTGCGGGCATGCAAACTGCGCATGCCTGAAAGGACGCCATATGGCATCCACCTGGATGGACGAGGGGTTTTGCAGGCCGCCATCTGGCTATAGGCCGGGCGGGAACTTGTTAACTACCCGGAAATTGACTGGAGTAATTGTACTGCAGGAACAGTTAAAGGGCAAAAATGTTTAAACCTACTACAGGACAATTTTATGGTACAGTTCATAGAGGCCCCTACTAGGAATGATGCCCTGCTGGACTTAGTAATCTCAAACCATGCAGAGCTTATTACAAATGTCCATATAAAAGAACATCTGGGTAGCATTGACCATAGCATGATTTCATTCATTGTTAGCTGTAAACAGCGAGCACATACGAGAAAATTAAAAATGCTCAATTTTAAGAGAGCTAATTTTCCTAGGCTGAGAGCTGCTCACGAAGACTTAGACTGGGAGGGAATATTGGCATCAATGAACACAACACAGAAATGGGAGTTCTTCGAAAAGACTGTATGTGAACACACTGCAAAATATATTCCCATTGGCAACAGGTTTAAAAGGCTAAAAATCAAACCTATGTGGCTTACGGCCAAGCTTAAAGATGCTATAGATAATAAGAAAAGAGCTTTTATTAAATATAAAAATGAAGGCGCGCTATCATCCTTTAAACATTACGAAGATTATAACAGAATATGCAAAAAGGAAATAAAGGTCGCAAAAATTGACAAAAATAACAGGACCAATCCCCAAAAAAGTGGGTGACTGGGGACAAAGAGACGGCAAATTTATTAAATACCTTCTTCAGCTCTGTGTATACAAAGGAGCATGGGGGAGCTCTTTTCCATAATGGGCATGGTATTGATACAGCTCCAGATAATCCACATTGGCTCACAATTGATATGATTCAAAAATATTTAGACAGAATAAAGGTGAATAAAGCACCTTGACCAGATGGCATACTGTACACCCACGGGCCTTTAAAGAATTGAGCTCTGTCATTTCAAAGCCATTGTTTCTCATTTTTAGGGACTTTTTAATGACTGGCATAGTACCACTGGATTGGCGTAAGGCCAATGTGGTGCCAATATTTAAAAAGGGGTCAAACATTTTACCTTTAATCAAAAGTAAATATAGACCTTTTAGTTTATTAGACCTGTTATATTATTTAATTTCTTAGTCTTTCAAAAAATTGTGACAATACATTTTAACTTCAAAATACTCGCTGTGCCTCTTATTAAATACCACAGACTGTCTACTTTCCAAAAAATAGGTCCTTTGGGTGGTATTTGTACTGTCCTGGTGTTTAACCACCTTCCGCCCGCCATATAGTACAATGACGGGCGCAAAGTGGTTCTCTCGTTCTGATAGGACGTCATATGACGTCCTTCAATTCTCACCACGCATGCGCAGCTCAGGGAGCGCGCATGCGCGGCGATTGTCAGTGCGCTGTGTCCCTCGGACACAGCGGATCACGGAAAGAGCCGAAGATGTCGGCTTGGTCATGTGATCAGCTGTGTTTAATCACAGCTGATCACATGTAAACATGGAAATGTCGGTTATCTGCATTTCTCTCCTCTCGAGCTGTCGCGCTGACAGCTCGAGAAGAGAGGAGAGCCAGTAATCGGCTTTCCGTGGAGGGGACATGTGCACTGATGATCAGGGCACTGATGATCAGTGTGCCCTGATGATCAGTGTAGCCCCAGCAGTGCCACCTGTCAGTGTCCATCAGTGCCAGCAGTCAGTGCTCATCAGTGCCACGTGCCAGTGCCCATCAGTGCCACATCAATGCCACATATCAGTGCCCATCTGAGCTGCCTTTCAATGTCACCCATCAGTGCCAGTCAGTGCCACCTATCAATGCCAATCAGTGCCACCTATCAGTGTTGCCAATCAGTGCCGCCTATCACTGCCAGTCAGTGTCGCCTATCAGTGCGCATCAGTGACGCCTATCAGTGCCAGTCAGTGCCGCCTACCCGTGCCAGTCAGTGCCACCTATCAGTGCCAGTCAGTGCTGCCTATCAGTGCTGCCTATCAGTGTCATGTATCAGTGCTGCCTTTCAGTGCCCATCAGTGCCACCTATCAGTGTCCATCAGTGCAGCCTATCAGTGCCCATCACTGCAGCCTCATTAGCGCACATCAGTGAAGGAGAAAAATCACTTATTTACAAAATATTATAACAAAAACTAAAAAAAAAATGTTTTTTTTTTCAAAATTTTCTGTTGTTTTTGGTTTGTTTAATAAAAAATAAAAATCCCAGAGGTGATTAAATACCACCAAAAGAAAGCTCTATCTGTCTAAAAAAAATGCTAAAAATTTCATATGGGTACAGTGTTGCATGACCGCGCAATTGTCATTCAAAGTGTGACAGCGCTGAAAGCTGGAAATTGGCCATGGCAGGAAGGGGGGGGTATAAGTGCTCTGTAAAGTGGTTAAGTGCCTCAACAAATGAGATCGGCCATCAGTACACCAGGACTGATCAATTTACAAAAATATATATAAAAAATATATATAAGTTTGTTGACGCTATAACTTTCACACAAACCAATTAATACACATGTATTGTGATTTGTTTTTTACCAAAGACGCAGCAGAATACATTTTGCTCAAAATTTATGAAGAAATTTGATTTTATTGGATATGGTATATAACAGAAAGTAGAAAATATTGTTTTGTTTTTTTTTTTCAAAATTGTATAAAAATAGAATTAAAAAGAAAAAGCAGTGGTGCTGAAATACCACCAAAAGAATGTTTTTTTTTGTGTGAAAAAAAATAAAAAAAATAAATCTGGGTACAGTGTTGCATGACTGTGTAAATGCCAGTTAATGTAGCGCAGTGCCAAATAGTAAAAAATGGCCTGGTCATGAAAACCTTCCAGAGCTCAAATGGATACTCCAACCCCCGCAGAGACAGAAAATGCATATATAGTGAACTGTGTAATATTAGGAGCACAGGTATTCACAAATACAGACAGTAGAGCAGCATATCCCTACATTCACTAAATACACTACAGTATATTGCCAAAAGTATTGGCAGTCTGGCCTTTAAAATCACATGAACTTTAATGGCATTGCAGTCTTAGTCTGTAGGGTTCAATATTGAGTTGGCCCACCCTTTGCAGCTATAACAGCTTCAAATCTTCTGGGAAAGCTGTCCACAAGGTTTAGAAGTGTGTTTATGGGAATGTTTGACCATTCTTCCAGAAGTGCATTTGTGAGGTCAGACACTGATGTTGGACGAGAAGGCCTGGATTGTAGTCTCCACTCTAATTCATCCCAAAGGTGTTCTATCAGGTTGAGGTCAGGACTCTGTGCAGGCCAGTCAAGTTCTTCCACCCAAACTCACTTATCTATGTCTTTATGGACCTTGCTTTGTGCACTGGTGCAGTCATGTTGGAACAGGAAGGGGCCATCCGCAAACTGTTCCCACAAAGTTGGGAGCATAAAATTGTCCAAAATGTCTTGGTATGATGACGCCTTAAGAGTTCCCTTCACTGGAACTAAAGGACCAAGCCCAACCTCTGAAAAATTTAAACTTGGCACAATGCAGTTAGGCAAGTACTGTTCTCCTGACAACTGCCAAACCCAGACACATCCATCGGATTGCCAGACTGAGAAGCGTGATTTGTCACTCCAGAGAACACGTCCCCACTGCTCTAGAATCCAGTGGCAGTGTGCTTTACACCACTGCATCCGACGCTTTGTATTGCACTTGGTGATGTAAAGCTTGGATGCAGCTGCTCGGCCATGGAAACCCATTCCATGAAGCTCTCTACATAGTGTTGCTGTACCAATCTGAAGGCCAGACAAAGTTTGGAGGTCTTTAACTATTCACTCTGCAGACAATTGGCCACTTATGCACACTGTGCGCTTTAGCATGTCAATTTACATTGCCTACCACTTCGTAGCTGAATGTTCCCAGTTGCTTTCACTTTATTAGAATACCACTAACAGTTGCCTGTGGAGCTCCTGAGAGCAACCCATTCTTTCACAAATGTTTGTAGAAGCAGTCTGCATGCCTAGGTGCTCGATTTTATACGCCTGTGGCCATGGGATTGATTGGAACACCTGAATCCAATGATTTGGAGGGGTGTCCCAATACTTTTGATCCCTGATGCCTCCAGCCAATGCACATTGGGGCCAGAGAGTCCTCAATATGCAATTCATTGCTAAAGGCCTTTGTGGTAAAATGAAAGAGTGTTCTCTGATCTGCCACTGATCTTCATTCTGATGTGCACAAAAACAGTCCTAAAATGAAGTCAGATACATTTAGAACCAGCTGGAGAGGATGGAAAAGGAAAGTGCCACTGATGGCTGCCCATATATGCAAAAGTGATTAAGTGACTATAAATAGCCACCCAAATTACTTCTAAGAAACACAAAGAAGCAGGCTGATGATTTCAACAAGCTACAGCTATTGTTGCTAGATATTACAGGCTGCAAGCTGAGATGGGTATAAATCTTATAATTACAGCACTAATTCACTTCACTGACCACATAGCAGTATAAATATATAGAACATTTATACAAATACTGTATATATAAAGAAATATGTAAATAGCATATATGTAATAAAATGACCCTGTGCTCAATTAATATAGAGTACAAATGAATATACACTTTAAATTAATATTATAATTATGAAATACCTCCATCCATAAAACTGTGAAAAAAAATTGTGTAATGCAACTTAATACAGTGCATGATCACATCACTAAATCCAGTGTCCAAGTAAAAAGTGCAAATGTAAAAAAAACTTTGTATTAATATGTAACACTCCCAACTACATGGTAAGAAATAGAATCCCACTTCACAGTATAAAACACTCCTCTCTGAGAGGTGCCTTTATGGTGAGTTCTTCACCTCAATACATTGACCACCTTAACCACTTGACCTCCAGAAGGTCATGATAAGGCCATTTTTTGTTATTCAGCAGTGTGCTACTTTAACCACTTGCCTATCAGGCACTTTTACCCTATTCATGCCCAGGCCAATTTTCAGCTTTCAGTACTGTTGCACTTTGAATGACAATTGAGCAGTCATGCAACATTGTACCCATATGAAATTTTTTTATCATTTTTTTCACACAAATAGAGCTTTCTTTTGGTGGTATTTATTCGTCACTGGATTTTTATTTTTTGCACTATAAACAAAAAAGTGAAAAAAAATAAAAAAAATAAGTTTTTCTCTGTTTCTATTATAAAATTTAGCAAACAGGTAACTTTTCTCCTTCACTGATGTGCGTTGATGAAGCTGCACTGATGGGCACTGATAGGTAGCACTGATGGGCACTGATGAGGTGGCACGGATAGGCAGCATTGATGGGCACTGATAAGCTGCACTGATGAGGTGACACTGGTGGGCATTAATGAGAAGGCACTGATGATGCTGCACTGATATGCAGCACTGATGGGCACTGGCAGGCAGCACTGATGGGCACTGATAGGCAGCAAGTATTGGCACTGATGGGCAGCACTGACTGGTGGTACTGACTGATAGCACTGACTAGCTGCACTGATGGGCTACACTTCTGGGTGGCACTGATGGGCGCAACTTCTGGGCAGCACTGATGGGTGGCACTGCTGGGCACTGATGGGTGGCACTGATCATCAGTGCCCTGATGATCAGTGCAGGTGTCCTCTGTGACATTTGCCAGTTATTGGCAGTACTTTCCTCACACTGAGGAAAGTGCTACCAATAACTGGCAACTGTATTTACTTTGTGATCTACTGTGTCATTGGACTGATTACGTGGTAAAAGGCAGCTGTGATTGGCCTTTTACTTAGTCATGAAATCAGCTTTGTCCGTAGGATACAGCAACCACTGATAGCGCTGGGTGCGTGTTCTGGGAGGACGTCATATCGGCTATAGCGTGGTTGTAAAGTGGTTAAAGGAGAAGTACAGATAAAGCTCTTTTGGTTGTACTTCTCCTGTGGATCACAAGAGTGCAGTTTGTTCTGCACTCCTGTGACCTGTTGTCAGCTGACAGCGGGCTGAAGCACGCTGTCCGCTGACGTCACTCACCTGGTCCTGGCTGGGAAAAATCCTGACTTAGGATATGGCTCAGCCTCTCAGGGAACTGCCTAGAGCCTAAGGCAGCCTCTCCTTCCTCCACAGCCCAGCGCTCCTGTGAGGAGAGGCAGAGCAGACATTAGTGACTGACAGTCACCGCTCTCTGCTCAGAGCTGTGAGAACTCAGTGATCAGCAGTGATGTGATGAAACACACAATAGCAATCAAGCTGGCATGAATAGCTTCCGTTCATGATAATAAAACGAATATGCAGCGCTCAGTATAAAATGAAAAAAATCAATAAATACCGTAAAAGGCAGAAATATGATAAATAAAAAAACTCTCATAAAACATAATGGTGCATAAAAAATAAAGTGACAAGTGAAATGGTGAATGGATGACGATGTCAATTATGACAAATCAGCTGGTTATGAATAACTCTTAGTCATAAACATCATCACAATGAGAGTATGTGCAAAAAAATGCCAATATATATTAGTCCAGTTAAATGGTGAATGGATGAGATCCAAAACCAACAAGCTCAGGAATACAGATATTCACGATGAAGACTAGATACAGTACAGGTGACGTCTTTGTGATATATAAATGAAGTGTGCTTGCACTTTCCAGAAGCGCAAAAATGATGCGCATATAATGAATCTCTCAACAGTAATCTGGATCCTGGTAGTCATCAAGGATCTGGTCACCGGAGGGGTAGAGGGGGGGCAACAATGGTTCACACACATCAGGCGGCTCTCCAAACCACGTAACGGACCAATCCCATATGCAGATGATCGTGAACATGATTCCTTGAGCAATATCAGCTACTTTTTGATGATTTGCACGGGGGGGGGGGGGGGGGGGGGGGGTACTACACCAAACTTATAATGGCTCAAAAATTATAAAGCCACCAAAACAAAGGTGTAATAATAGTGTA